AAGGGTTTTTCCTACAGAGAAAGTTTAGTTAATCAAAGTCAGGTACCAGTCCATTGAGGACTAGACTAAGAACGCCTTGAAGTGTTGTTTGAACCATTGAAGTTTTGTTGTTTGTTCCATAATAAAGACTTTGTTGTATCATTAAAGACTCTAAAGACCATCACTTCAGAAAAATCCCTGAGAACCTCTCTTTGAGGCGCCCCTGGCTTCCCGCTGGGCTTAAAGTATATGTCCTATAGAAAAGTACAGCTGTTACAGGCCCAGCGTGTGACAGAACAGACTGAGTCCACCTTGAAGGAGCTGGGGGTGGTGAAAGCCGACAGGGAGCTCTGGCCTGGTCCAGGAGGTCACGTAGAGTCGGAAGCAACTGAACGAAAACAATAACAAAATGAAACCAGTTAAGCCTTGTGGCCCTTGAGGCTGTGCTGATTCACTGAATGCTAAGATTATTGCCCATTTCTGGGAACTTTGAGCCTTCTTTAGAATGTGGCACAGAGATAAGACGAAGTTGCATTCCAAAACTTCCTGCTTCAAGCGAAACAGCAAAACATTACACAATATTTCCCTTAATACGAAGGAAGAAAAACACCAATCTGTTGTCCATTTTGATTGGCTAAAGAGAAATATGCACTCTGCCCATGTTTAGGAAACCCCTTTCCTGCCTGAAAAGGACTGAGATACATTCCAGAAAAGCCAGGCCCTGCTTTAGAGAAAAGACAAACCAAGCCCAGTTTCAGAAACTGGGATTCAGCCTCATGGGCCTTACAGTCCTTGGTTATATTCTGAATCTATGAATCCAGGGTGGATCGTGGTGTTCACATACTCAGGAAGGGAGCCATTGCATTCAAATACCGACAGAGTCATTGCCTCTGCGTGAGATCTGTATTTTGCCATCCGTTCCCATGACAAGAATATAATAATAATAATAATGGCTCTTAAAGCATATTGGGTGTTACGTGACTCATAAGTGCCACTGAACTAAAGTAGGCGAGGAATCGAAGCAGGGAGTGCCACTGTTGTTGATTTGCCAGCTCTGTTCTGTTATTTCTTATTTTGTTAATATGCTAATCTTCTGTACCTGGTGTTGCCCAGGTTTTGCATTTTGTAATGCTGATCTTCGCATCTATGTATCTGTATCAGGCATGGGCAAACTTCGACCTGTGGACTTCAACTACCACCGGCTATTAGGAATTGTGGGAGTTGAAGTCCAAAACACCCAGAGAGCCGAAGTTTGCCCATGCCTTATCTATATATGCATATACGAGGGTTGAATGAAAAGTAATGCCTTCACCTTCGTAACTCCTCAACAGATGGCAGTACTGGTATGCAGCATGTACTGACTTGTTCAGTAGACTCTCCTCTACAGTTCAGTTTTGGTGGGAAGCCTTAGCATTGAACGGTTGTGTTGTTAAAATGCGAAGTATGGAAGCTTGTGCAGGCGGTCGGTCAGTGCAACTTAAGCAACGTGTAGTCATTGAATTCTTGACAGCAGAAAGTGTCGCCCCAAAGGAGATTCATCAGAGAATGCAAGCTGTTTATGGTGATTGTGTAAATGTGAGTACTGTGTGTTGTTGGGCGAGAAAGTTTAAAGATGTTGAGGTGGGAACATCTGACTTGCATGGCAAACAAAGAGTTGAACACAGCATATTATTTGAGAACACAGAAATGCTGGACCACACCAACAACCACCATGTCAGACTACACAGAGAAGCCATTGAAATCCACAAGCATGTGGACAATTTCAACAGAAAGGAGGAGACCATGAAAATGAACAAAATCTGGCTATCAGTATTAAAAAACTCCAAAATTACAACAGCAAAACAGCAGAGAGGAAACAACCAGGCACATCTTAACACCTCTCAACAAAAGATTTTCCCAGGCTCAGGCAGGCCTTCAAATGCTAATGAAGGTGGTCAGTTGAAACATTCACACCTAGCTCTAGCAGAGAAGAGCTCTTTGCCCCACCCCAGCCATTCCACAGATATATAAACCCATTGTCCTATTTCCAACAGACCTCACTACCTCTGAGGATGCTTGCCATAGATGCAGGCGAAATTTCAGGAGAAATGCCTCTAGAACATGGCCCTATAGCCAGAAAAAACCCACAAGAACCTAGTGATTCCAGCCATGAAAGCCTTCGACTATACAAAGAGTTGGATGTTCTGTGACAGCAACCACCGAGTTTCACAAGCAAAAGGTTGACAGATTTATTCAGGAATAGAGACTGTAAAGTGTGTTTTTCCTTCACCCTGCTAAAGTTTTCCAGTTTATTGCATTGAAGAAATGACTTTGTGACAAATAAAACTTATTTTGAGTTATTTACATCGTTTTGGGTTCTTGGGAGTTCCAGTTTCCTAAAGGAGGGCAAGAAGCAATCCCTTGGGGGAAAGATGCCACGTCCATCCTCCTTTTAAGACTAATAGCCCCCAAGCGCGACGGCACACTGAACGATGTTGGAAGTCTCAAGACACACGACATATATAGAGAGACACAAAGGCATTTAACATTCCAGCTTTTCCAGGTATTCTTCTTGAGCAGTGGTTCTCAACCTTCCTGATGCCGTGACCCCTTAATACAGTTCCTCATGTTATGGTGACCCCAACCATAAAATTATTTTCACTGGACCAAATTTAGCACAAATGCCCAATATGCCCAAATCTGAATTGGAGGGCGGGGGGATTGTTTTTGTCATTTGGAAGTTACTGGGATTTATAGTACACCTACAACCAGAGGCGGCCCTAGGTAATTTTCAACGGTAAGCAAACAGTATTTTGCCCCCTCCCCCAACCAATCATTGATATATATTTTCTGTTTGTCGTGGGAGTTCTGTGCGCCATATTTGGTTCAATTCCATCATTGGTGGAGTTCAGAATGCTCTTTGATTGTAGGTGAACTATACATCCCAGTAACTACAACTCGCATATGTCAAGGTCTATTTTCCCCCAAGAGTACTTCAAGAGCGCCCCCGGGCAAAATCAACTATACTGCGAATGCTTACTTTGCGTAATGGTTGAGCCGCCCCTGCCTACAACCAAAGAGCATTCTGAACTTCACCAACAATGAAATTGAACAAATGAACCAAACTTAGCACAAAGGACTCCCATGACCAACAGAAATTACTGGAAGGGTTTGGTGAGCATTGACCTTGAGTTTTGGAATTGTAGTTCACCTACATCCAGAGAGAACCGTGGACTGTTCAAACAATGATGGATCTGGACCAAAGTTGGCACGAATACACAATATGCCCAAATGTGAACAATGGTGGAGTTTGGGGCAAATAGACCTTGACATTTGGGAGTTGTAGTTATTGGGATTTATAGTTCACCTACAATCAAAGAGAATTCCCCACAAACGATAGAATTGGGTTAAACTTCCCACACAGTGCCCCCATGACCAACAGAAAATACTGTGTTTTCTGATGGTCTTTGGCGACCCCTCTAACAGCCCCTCGTGACCCCCCCCCAGGGGTCCTGACCCCCGGGTTGAGAAACCCTGTTCTTGAGAGCATTCTGGCCACCAGGGGAGCTGTCCCTTCACCGACCATTTGTGACACTGATGAAGTACTTCCTCATTCTTTGCATGCTTGCTGGAGATTTTTATGGCATCGTAAATTAATTAAATTTGCCTCCCTGCATATGCAGTACCTAAATTTCCTACTTGACAGATGCAACTGTCTTTCGAGCTGCAAAGGTCAACAGCAAGCTACACAAATTGGTCGGAAGCTCACTCCAACCTGGGCTGGCTTCAAACTCATGACCTTTCGGTCAGTAGTGATCTTAATGCAGCTGACTCCCAGCCAGCTGTCGCCACAGTCCCTAAGAGACGTAGATCATAGAATCATAGAATCAAAGAGTTGGAAGAGACCTCATGGGCCATCCAGTCCAACCCCATTCTGCCAAGAAGCAGGAATATTGCATTCAAATCACCCCTGACAGATGGCCATCCAGCCTCTGTTTAAAAGCTTCCAAAGAAGGAGCCTCCACCACACTCCGGGGCAGAGAGTTCCACTGCTGAACGGCTCTCACAGTCAGGAAGTTCTTCCTCATGTTCAGATGGAATCTCCTTCTTGTAGTTTGAAGCCATTGTTCGTATCCTAGTCTCCAGGGAAGCAGAAAACAAGCTTGCTCCCTCCTCCCTGTGGCTTCCTCTCACATATTTATACATGGCTATCATATCTCCTCTCAGCCTTCTCTTCTTCAGGCTAAACATTCTCAGCTCCTTAAGCCGCTCCTCATAGGGCTTGTTCTCCAGACCCTTGATCATTTTAGTCGCCCTCCTCTGGACACATTCCAGCTTGTCAATATCTCTCTTGAATTGTGGTGCCCAGAATTTGACACAATATTCCAGGTGTGCTCTAACCAAAGCGGAATAGAGTATGGGGAGCATGCCTTCCCTAGATCTAGACACTAGGCTCCTATTGATGCTGGCCACGTCTCGTAAGCATATAGCAGGGTGGGGAGGATAATAGACAAGCACCTTGGTATCCCTACGGATGTCCCGGTCCTCAAACACTCTCTGCTTAATTCGGAAAAATGCTGCACTCGCAGAGCTCAGGCGGTGTTGTATTTCACAGTCAATATTGACTTTTGTGGAGAGGTGGCTGGCTTGTAACACTACAAGTCCAAGATGTCCATAGCACTGAGCTTCGACATTAAACTGGTGTCAAACTGCAATGTTTCTATGATTAAGAAAGTGCAGCCTTGTCTTTTCCAAACTTGTTAAAATGAATCTCATTCTGTGCCTTGCAGTGCTCGAAATCCTGCGAAGGAGGTTTCCGTATCCGAGAGGTGCGTTGTCTCTCCGACGACATGACACCGGGGACCCAATGTGACCCGCAGCTCAAGCCAGCCGAAAAGGAGCAATGCAACACTCAGGAGTGTGTGCCTGAAATAGGTAGGATGAAAGGACCATTGGTTTCTAACCATGGCACTCCATCTAGTGGCGGGAAAGTAATTTGAATCCACTCTGCATATCGAAGGAATCAAATTAAAGGTGGATCTACACCAGTGTATTGTCGAAGGCTTTCATGGCTGGAATCACTAGGTTCTTGTAGGTTTTTTCGGGCTATAGGGCCATGTTCTAGAGGCATTTCTCCTGACGTTTCACCTGCATCTATGGCAAGCATCCTCAGAGGTAGTGAGGTCTGTTGGAACTAGGACAATGGGTTTATATATCTGTGGAATGACTGGGGTGGGGCAAAGAGCTCTTCTCTGCTGGAGCTAGGTGTGAATGTTTCAACTGACCACCTTGATTAGCATTAGAAGGCCTGGCTGAGCCTGGGAAATCTTTTGTTGAGAGGTGTTAAGATGTGCCTGGTTGTTTCCTCTCTGTTGTTTTGCTGTTGTAATTTTAGAGTTTTTTTTAATACTGGTAGCCAGATTTTGTTCATTTTCATGGTCTCTTCCTTTCTGTTGAAATTGTCCAAATGCTTGTAGCATTTCTTCCCTGGATCTAGACACTATGCTCCTATTGATGCAGGCCAAAATCCCATTGGCTTTTTTTGCCGCCACATCACATTGTTGGCTCATGTTTAACTTGTTGTCCACGAGGACTCCCAAGATCTTTTTCACACGTACTGCTCTCGAGCCAGGCATTGTCCCCCATTCTATCTCTTTGCATTTCGTTTTTCCTGCCAAAGTGGAGTATCTTGCATTTGTCACTGTTGAACTTCATTTTGTTAGTTTTGGCCCATCTCTCTAATCTGTCAAGATCGTTTTGAATCCTGCTCCTGTCCTCTGGAGTATTGGCTCTCCCTCCCAATTTGGTGTCGTCTGCAAACTTGATGATCCTGCCTTCTAACCCTTCATCTAAGTCATTAATAAAGATGTTGAACAGGACCGGGCCCAGGACGGAACCCTGCGGCACTCCACTTGTCACTTCTTTCCAGGATGAAGAGGAAGCATTGGGGAGAATCACCCTCTGGGTTCGTCCATTTAACCAATTCCAGATCCACCTCACCGTAGTTTTGCCTCGCCCACATTGGACTAGTTTCCTTGCCAGAAGGTCATGGGGGACCTTGTCGAAGGCCTTCCTGAAATCCAGGCGGCATTCTCCGCATCTACCCAGCTTGTAACTCTATCGAAAAAAGAGATCAGATTAGTCTGGCATGACTTGTTTTTGATAAATCCATGTTGACTATTAGCGATGACCACATTTGTTTCTAAGTGTTTGCAGACCACTTCCTTAACAATCTTTTCCAGAATCTTGCCTGGTATCGATGTGAGGCTGACCGGACGGTAATTGTTTGGGTCATCCTTTTTTCCCTTCTTGAAGATTGGGACCACATTGGCCCTCCTCCAATCTGCTGGACAGATGTTGACTCTTCGTGATTGGTGTTAGCTTTGTGTTGACTTCCTTCTTAACATTGTAAACATTTCTCTTATCACTGTCACAGTTCTTATCACAGTTTACTTTTTCAGTTCTCATTAGCAACTTTTAATTACAGTTTCTGAGTGTATTTGTTTTCCAAGCCTCAATATTTTAGATGTTGTCTCCATAATTATTAACTCTCATTCATACACCTTCCATACAGTTCCATTCACAGCATGTTGTTGTTGTTCATTCGTTCAGTCGTCTCCGACTCTTCGTGACCTCATGGACCAGCCCACGCCAGAGCTCCCTGTCGGCCGTCCCCCCCCCCAGCTCCTTCAAGGTCAGTCCAGTCACTTCAAGGATGCCATCCATCCATCTTGCCCTTGGTCGGCCCCTCTTCCTTTTACCTTCCACTTTCCCCAGCATAATTGTCTTCTCTAGGCTTTGCTGTCTCCTCATGATGTGGCCAAAGTACTTCAACTTTGTCTCTAGTCTCCTTCCCTCCAATGAGCAGCCGGGCTTTATTTCCTGGAGGATGGACTGGTTGGATCTTCTCGCAGTCCAAGGCACTCTCAGCACTTCCCTCCAACACCACAGCTCAAAAGCATCGATCTTCCTTCGCTCAGCCTTCCCTAAGGTCCAGCTCTCACATCCGTAGGTGACTACAGGGAATACCATGGCTTTGACTAGGATCTTTGTTGCCAGTCTGATGTCTCTACTCTTTACTATTTTATCTAGATTGGACATTGCTCTCCTCCCAAGAAGTAAGCGTCTTCTGATTTCCTGGCCACAGTCTGCATCTGCAGTAATCTTTGCACCTAGAAATACAAAGTCTGTCACGGCCTCCACATTTTCTCCCTCTATTTCCCAGTTGTCAATCATTCTTGTTGCCATAATCTTGGTTTTTTGATGTTTAGCTGCAACCCGGCTTTTGCGCTTTCTTCTTTCCCCTTGATTAGAAGGCTCCTCAGCTCCTCCTCGCTTTCGGCCATCAGAGTGGTGTCATCTGCATATTCACACCATATATTATATCAAATCCACATTTATCAAATCTGCATGTTATATTTCCGTGGCAACCATATGCCAGTGCTATGATGGAAATGGGTAAGCAAGGTCACTCACTGGAGTCAAAAGATGGGAGATGCAGGACAGGTAAAAGAAGAGGCTTCTTTACCCCATTGGTTGGAAAGTAAAACCGGGGAACTAAGAGGTTTTCTCAACATCGAATGCTGCATAAATAAGCACAATTTTAGAAGCAGTGCTTCAAATCGAGGATTTAGCTGGTAGGCGGCATATTTGCAAAACCAGGGAACTTGGCATGCATAAGAAATGTCGCTGTCCCTGCCATTTTTCATCCACTTGAAACAGCTGGGTTTTGCGGAGCAATTAACACTTGGCTACATTGCCTGCCAGTCAAACGCAGCTGCCTGCTACCTGGCATTCAGGAGTCGCGGAAAACCAAATTGATTTGCACTTGTCTTTGAACAAAAGCGATTGGCCCCATGCATTATTTAAACTGTGTGGTTTGGGGGTGGATGCATTATTTAAACGATGCTGAGGAGCACCCGAGCAGTATCATGAGTGATAACATGTCACCGAGAATTTAGACATTCCTTCACTGTCCCACCAACAAAATAAAATGTGGTTATAATATATTGTATTGTAAAATATCCATAATCCCATCAATCATCTTCAAAGGCACTGATACAAATGAAAACTAGAAACCCAGTGAATGCAAACTCAGGCCCAGGGGCCGGATGCAGCCCCTTGTGCTCTTTTGTCAGGTCCTCCTCTTTCTCACCATCCTATCCTTCCTTCCTTCTCTCTTTCCCTCCTCCTTTCCTTCCCTCCCTCTTCCTCCCTGATTCCTTCTCTTCCACCCTTTCATCCTTCCCTCTCTCCCTCTTTCTCCTTCCCTCCCTTTTGTCTTTCCTTCCTTTTCTCTTTCCTCTCTCCCTTCCCTACCTCCATTCACTTCCACCCTTTCGTCCTTCCATCCTTCCCTCCCTTTTGTCTTTCCTTCCTTTTCTCTTTCCTCCCTCCCTCCCTTACCTCCTTCTTTTTCTCTCTGTCCTTCCTCCTTCCCTCCCTTTTGTCTTCCTTCCTTCCTCTCTTTCCTTCCTCCTCTCTCCCTTCTCTCCCTCTTCCTTCTCTCTTCCCTTTCATCCTTCCTCCCTCCCTCTCTTTCTTTCCCTTCCTTCCTCCTTCTTTCTCCTTTATCCCTCCCTTCCCTTCCCCTTCATTCCTTCCTTCCTTTATTCATTCTTTCCTCCCTTCGCTTTTTCCTTCCTTCTTCCTTTCCTTCCCTCTTTCCTTTTATCTTTCCTTCCCTTCATTCTCTCTCTTTCTCTTTCCATCCTTCCCTTCCTTCCTTCCTTCGCTTTTTCCTTCTTCCTTCCTTTCCTTCCTTATTTCTCTTTTATCTTCCCTTCCTTCCCTTCATTCTCTCTCTCTCTTTCTCCTTCCATCCTTTCCTTCCTTCCTTTTATCACTTTTGTCTTTCCTTCCTTTTCTCTTTCCTCCCTTCCCTTCCTTCCTCCCCTTCCACCCTTTCTCCTTCCATCCTTCCCTCCTTTTTTTCTTTCCTTCCTTCTCTCTTTCCTTCCTCCTTACCTCCCTCCCCCTCCCTCTTCCTTCCTTACCTTTTCTTTCATCATTCACTGCCTCCCTCTTCCTTCCTTCTTCTTCCCTTTCTTCTCTTCCTCCCTCCCTTCCTCCCCTCCTTCCTTCCTTCTTTCCCTTCCTTTACTTTTCTTCCTTCTCCTTCCTTCTCTTCCTTTTATCTTTCCTTCCCTTCATTCTCTCTCTTTCTCCTTCTATCCTTCCCTTTCCTTCCTTTCTTTTTTCCTTCTTCCTCCTTTCCTTCTTTTCCTTCTCCCTTTTCTCTCTCTCTCTCTCTTTCTCCTCCATCCTTCCCTTCCTTCCTTCCATCACTGGGCAACCAGTCCTCCTAACAGGGAGTGCTAGCATGCAGCCCCCAAAGTTAGAAAGTTTGCCCACACCTGGTGTAGCCCAAAAACTAGTAATTGCTAAAATGAAAGCTTTGTTTTCTCCTTAGCACCTTTAACCTTGATGTATTAGAGATAATACTAGATCGGTTCAAGCAGAGTATTCAGATTGGCAAGGCAGAAGCTGAGCAATGACAAACCCATGCCTGCCAACCTGACAGATATAGCAGAGAAATAAAAAAAGCTTCATTTTCTTATTAAAATATACTTAAAGAGCTGTATTTCCAAACTATTGATGCATAATCAAACATGGTTTCTAATTGAGGAAAGAAAAGGGGGAGGAAAATGTCATGATGTCAGGGCTCTGTCAATATTTAGACAGAGATGAACCCAACTCACAGTTCGTATTAAACAATTTAATTAAAACAGCACTTACTTCCTGGCTGTTTTAATAGTCCAAAATATAAAACATAAAGATAGATCTCAGCCACAGAATAAACAAAAATGGATAGCAAAAGCTATAACGTAGTCAGAGGGTCCAAAATTCACAAACATGTTACTTGCTTTACACACTCTTGACTGAAATTATGTTCTGACTAAAGCACCACTGGCTTTCTTTATGTTCCTAAAACCTGAGCTCTATTTGACTAACTGCTTATTTCTAACAGGAGTTCCTAACTCTTTTCTCTCACAGAAGTTCCTAACTGTCTCTCACAAACAGGAATCCCTAACTCTCTAACTGTACCTCACAAACAGCAATTCCTAACTCTCTAACTGTACCTCACAAACAGCAAATCCTAACTCTCTAACTGTACCTCACGAAGAGCAAATCCTAACTCCCTAACTGTACCTCACAAACAGCAAATCCTAACTCTCTAACTGTACCTCACGATCAGCAATTCCTAACTCTCTAACTGTACCTCACAAACAGCAAATCCTAACTCTCTAACTGTACCTCACGATCAGCAATTCCTAACTCTCTAACTGTACCTCACAAACAGCAAATCCTAACTCTCTAACTGTACCTCACAAACAGCAAATCCTAACTCTCTAACTGTACCTCACAAACAGCAAATCCTAACTCTCTAACTGTACCTCACGATCAGCAATTCCTAACTCTCTAACTGTACCTCACGAACAGCAAATCCTAACTCTCTAACTGTACCTCACAAACAGCAAATCCTAACTCTCTAACTGCACCTCACGATCAGCAATTCCTAACTCTCTAACTGTACCTCCCAAACAGCAAATCCTAACTCTCTAACTGTACCTCACAATCAGCAATTCCTAACTAACTCTTTTGACTCTCTAACTGCCTATTTTTTTAAACTTTGGCTCGCCCCTTTGGAATGTTTAGCTCAGCTCTCCCCAACTGTCATTTTGGCCTAGCAACCTATTCAAATCCTGGGCCTACACTAATCTGCATATAACTAATCGGCTTCCATATGCAAATGAATCCTATCTCTGCTGTTGCTACCCTGTCTGAGCCTATTCATCCCTATCTGCCATATGTAAACATAGAGCTATATACCAAGAATTTAATATAGAGTTGCAATTTCGCTACAGATGCCTTTCTCCTTGTGTTTTTTTTTCCAGATGAGAACTGCAAGGACAAATATTACAACTGCAATGTTGTAGTTCAAGCTCGGCTCTGTGTCTACACTTACTACAAGACGGCCTGCTGTGCTTCCTGTTTGAGAGTCGCGAACCGGCAGTCCGGGTTTCTGGGGCGCAGATAACATTGGCTCCAGGACTGGCCCGAATTTCCGCCTCTTTCCCTGAGATTGCTCAAATTCGAAGAGATCCTGTCTTCTGGAAAAGAAGTTTCCCACGTTGCTGGACACTTCCACGGTGCAAACAATCCATACCGGTCTGTTCTTATTAACACATTCTGTATAGGAACTCTTTGCCCCTGGGAAACGTAGACTGAAAAGGCAGAGCCTTGGAGGAACCATTGGGTGCAACCCATTGCAAGTGGATCCAGGAAGGCTTATGGTGGTGACCCATATGGGATCAAGCCTCGAGCTCATGTGGGGCAGGAATGGGACTCACCTGGTTGAATATGGCTCTTTTAAGGGTCTAGTGCTGCCATTTGGATCCCATACGATGCCCCAATATAAAAGCAGTCCTCACAAGTCAGATTTTAAAAACCCGCAACCTTGAAAACATTTTCTAACAATGTTTTGAGCCGTCTCCACCCTGAATCCACCCATCTCTTTATTTATACCCTTCCTTCCCCCCAAAATGGACTCGAAATGGCTTACAGATCAAAAGAGATACAACTAAAACCACATGTAGTCCAAAAACATATACAAAATTCAAGATTGAAATAATATTGAGCCATTTGTAAAATGAAAACTATTTGAAAAGTCCAAATCACAGTAGTAGTACTGCAGGTTAAAACAAGAAAGTTCTTTACATGTCCGATGATCAGTTCTCAAAGGCTGGAATCACTAGGTTCTTGTGGGTTTTTTCGGGCTATAGAGCCATGTTCTAGAGGCATTTCTCCTGACGTTTTGCCTGCATCTATGGCAAGCATCCTCAGAGGATGCTTGCCATAGATGCAGGCGAAACGTCAGGAGAAATGCCTCTAGAACATGGCTCTATAGCCCGAAAAAACCCACAAGAACCTAGTTCTCAAAGGCCTGCTGGAAGAGGAAGGTCTTTCCTACTCCTAGTTTTAAACCGTAGTTCTCCATAGAAGAGTTTTCTGAAATCCACAATTTTTGTGATTAGTCCAAAAATTCCTCTAGCGCAGTGTTTCTCAGCCTTCCGAATGCCGCGACCCCTTAATACAGTTCCTCATGTTGTGGTGACCCCCAACCAGAACATTGTTTTCGTTACTATTTCATAACTGCAATTTTGCTACCATTGTGAATTATAATGTAAATATCTGATATGCAGGATGTACTATCATTCATTGGACCAAATTTGGCACAAATATCCTATACGCCCACATTTGAGGAAGGGGATTGATTTTGTCAATTGGGAGTTCTAGTTAACCTACAATCAAAGAGTATTCTGAACTACACCAATGATGGAATTGGACCAAATTTGACACACAGAACTCCCATAACCAAAAGAAAATACTGGAAGGGTTTGGTGGACATTGGCCTTTTGGAGTTATAGTTCACCTACATCCAGAGAGTACGGTGGACTCAAACAAAGATGAATCTGGAACAAACTTGCCACGAATACTCAATATGCCCAAATTTGAACACTGGTAGAGTTTGGGGAAAATAGAGCTTGACATTTGGGAGTTGTAGTTGCTGGGATTTATAGTTCACCTACAATCAAAGAGCATTCCTGAACCCCACCAACGATAGAATCGTCATGCAAATATCTGATATGCAGGATGTATTCTCATTCACTGGACCAAATTTGGTGTAAATACCCGATAGCCCCAAATTTGAATACTGGTGGGGGAGGGATTGATTTTGTCATTTGGAATTGAACCAGTCTTGGCACACAGAAGTCCCGTGACCAACAGGAAATACTGGGTTTGGTGGGCATTGACCTTGAGTTTTGGAGTTGTAGTTCACCTACATTCCAGAGAGCACTATGGACTCAAACAATGACAGATCTGAACCAAACTTGGCACAAATTCTCAATATGCCCAAATGTGAACACTGGTAGTGTTTGGGGAAAATAGACCTGGTTGGGAGTTGTAGTTGCTGGGATTATAGTTCACCTACAATCAAAGAGCATTCTGAGCTTCAACAATAATAGAATTGGGCCAAACTTCCCACACAGAACCCCATGACCAACAGAAAATACTGTGTTTTCTGATGGTCTTTGGTGACCATCTGACATGCCCTCGCAACTCCTTCCCAGAGTTCCTGACCCCCAGGTTGAGAAACACTGCTTTATGGAAATGTGTGAGATCTTCCTCCAGCTGGAGGTCCAAAGGAAGACCCTTCCACAGATGCGGAGGCAGATGTCGAAAGGTCTACAGACTTAAAAGAGCCATGTACATAGGTGAAAATGACAGCAATTCTTTGTATTGTTGAAGGCTTTCATGGCAATCACTGTTGTAGGTTTTTTCGGGCTATATGGCCATGTTCTAGAGGCATTCTCTCCTGACATTTCGCCTGCATCTATGGCAAGCATCCTCAGAGTCGGACCTCACTACCTCTGAGGATGCTTGCCATAGATGCAGGCAAAACATCAGGAGAGAATGCCTCTAGAACATGGCCATATAGCCCGAAAAACCTACAACAACCCAGTGATTCCGGCCATGAAAGCCTTTGAAATTTTTTGGATTGTATCTCTGGCAAGCCTGAGCTCATTTTATGCTTTAGCCTTGCGGACCTTTTTCCTACAGGTGTTGGCTATTTGTTTGAATTCTTCTTTGGTGATTTCTCCCTTTTTCCACTTCTTGTGCATGTCTCTTTTGTGTCTTAGCACAGTTAGAAGTTCTTCGGACATCCATTCTGGCTTCTTTGCACTTGTCCTATTTTTTCGCTTTGTTGGCACAGCTTGAATTCCAAGATGGTGCCTACCATGGTAGACAATCTGCCAAGTATTGGGAGAAAATAGAACACAAAGCCTTTCATACAAGAACAAAAAGTTTGGAGCAGGCCTTGGACCAAAATGGTAGATAGAAAAGGGACCTATAGGAGAAGACACATGTGGTTATTTAGGGAGATTTGAAAGCCATACCACTTCTCACCATGATTAATGCCTGGGCATGAATGCCTATATTCAGGGCAAATAAAGATGGAAAGAAAATCTAGTTCAGCTCCATGCAGGGTGAGCTCAGATTGTACTGCCAGTTCTCCAGCGATTACTTGAGCTTTGTTTGATCACGGTATTTGGCTCCTTCCCTGACATCTCATGCGCTTGTTTCTTTTTTATCTTTGACTTATTAAAAAGTCAACACTAATTAAGACCCTCCTGCAGAGGAATGCTTTTTACCGTAAGCCGTTCGCCCGTTGGCCCACCAAGTCCTGCAAGACGTCATTATTTTGCCATTTCCTTAATTGATTTGTAGTAAACAATCATACGATTTCAGAGTCACCACATTCCCATCGTCAGCTATGTGGCAAGCTCAAGCGGCCACACTTGAACAGCCTAGATATTTCATTTGCAATGTCGGAGCGTGATTGCAACCACTCTGGCATTTTTCCATCTCTGTGGTAATTGCTTGATGTTCAGTCAATTTCCTTTCCTGCTTTTCAAAGAGACGGGAAACAGTGAACGAAATGCATATTGTCCTAATCCAGACATGTTCATATAGATGCCGATTGATGGTTGTGTCTGGCTTTTGATCAGAGAGAAATGATCAATCAGTGGGTTGTTGTAGGTTTTTTCGGGCTATATGGCCATAGTCTAGAAGCATTTTCTCCTGACGTTTCGCCTGCATCTATGGCAAGCATCCTCAGAGGTAGTGAGGTATGTTGGAAGTAGGAAAAAGGGTTTATATATCTGTGGAATGACCAGGGTGGGACAAAGGACTCTTGTCTGCTGGAGCTAGGTGTGAATGTTTCAACTGACCACCTTGATTAGCATTTGATGGCCTGGCAGTGCCTGGGAGCAATCTTTGGTTGAGAGGTGATTAGATGTCCCTGATTGTTTCCTCTCTGTTGTTTTGCTGTTGTAATTTTAGAGTTTTTTAAATACTGGTAGCCAGATTTTGTTCATTTTCGTGGTTTCCTCCTTTCTGTTGAAATTGTCCACATGCTTGTGGATTTCAATGGCTTCTCCGTGTAGTCTGACATGGTGGTTGTGAGAGTGGTCCAGCAGGATTACAGTGTACACATGTATGGCAAACATTCAATGCCAATTTTTGACATACAAACATATACAGACATACACAGAGGCTATTTAACTTTTTCTGGCCGCCAGGAGAGCTGTCGCTTTCATCGTCCATCTGCGACGCTGATGAAGCACTTCCGCATTCCCCACATGCTTCCCCACTGGAATGCTTTGCTGGAGTCTTCTTTATGGCCTCATAAATCAGTTAATTTAGCCTCCCCACACTTTAAGGTGGTACCTTATTTTCCTACTTGACAGATGCAACTGTCTTTCAGGTTGCAAAGGTCGACAACAGGCTACACACAATTGGTTGGAAACCCACTCCAACCCGGGCTGGCTTCGAACTCATGACCTTTTGGTCAGAGTGATCTTAATGCAGCTGACACTCAGCCAGCTACGCCACAATCCCGGTTCAGTTAAACACAATGGTAATCAAACGTTCTCAACCATCTCTGATACAGTAGGAGATCAGTATAAATGAGTCTGCAAATAGTAGACACATTCCCTAGATCAGTGGTTCTCAACTTTCACCAATGCCATGACCCTTTAGTACAGTTCTTCATGTTGTGGTGACCCCCAACAATAAAATTATTTTGATTGCTACTTCATAACTGTAATTTTGATACTGTTATGAATCATAATGTAAATATCCGACATGCAGGATGTATTTTCAATGTTACTTCTCTTTCTCCCTGACATTTCACCATGGAGGGCCACTCCACCCCTCTCTAAGCCTTTTCCCCCTTCCTAGGCCCCACTCCCTCACCTTCTACCTTCTCACCTCCAACTATTCCTCCTCCTTCCTCTTCCCTTTTGGCTCTGAAGCAAACCTCATTCCCATCAATCCCGTTTCTTCCTCCTAAAATGGTGATGGGGGTGGAGATGCAGGGCTGAGTGACATCACCACCTCCCTCCAGAGAAGAAGAAGAGGTCTTTGGGAAGTAAAGGGGACAGGGAAAAGTTAGCGGTGTCTCGGTTCCTAAGACCTTCAAAAATATGTGTTTTCCGACGGTCTTAGGTGACCCCTGTGACAGCGTTGTTCGACCCCCAAAGGGGTTGCGACCCACAGGTTGAGAACCACTCCCCTAGATCCTTATATCTTGATGGGGAGTAGCTATCCTGAATACGAGCTCATCTGATCTCAGTAGGGCTGGGCGGTTTCGTTCGTTAATTTCGTAATTCGTTATTAATTCGTTATTTTTTTTTATAACGAAGCGATAACAAACCATTCAGGAGCAACTAAAAAACGAAACGAATTTTTAAATTCGTTTCGTAATTGTTTCGAATTCGTTTTGTATTTGTTTCGTTATTGTTTTGAAATCGTTTCGTTATTATTTCCGCATGTCTGGTGCAAGTTTTATAGTTGTTGTTTGTTTTATCAGTGAAAAAAAAATAATTATCACACCAACAGTCAACAACAGAGGGAGAGGGAAGCTTCAGAAGTTCCCCCTGTCCCATTTGGAGGTTTTTTTAGCGTATTGCGCATTCGCGTCCGCCATTAACGAATCGATTCGTAATTGTTTCGTAATTGTTTCGTAATTTTCGTAAA